CGGTAAGATGGAAAGAGGCAGGAGATGACTAAGATGTGGTAATGGCTGCACAGTAAGAAGAGTTGGTACCAACACCCCCAAGCCACACAGTGAACCAAGAGTTACCGTGTGCGTTAAACTGCAGGCGGCTCTAGAATGACAGGGTGGGGGGTGCCAGGCCGAGACGTAGGCACACTCCTTTCCTCCCCACTTGTACACACAAGTACAAGTGCACTGATAAAGTACAAGTGCACAGACTCGACACACATGAGCTCGGTGAGTTCTGTCCTCGCGCTGGGACCATCCATCACTGACAGAGAAGGAGTTGTGGCCCAGAGGCATGAACAAACCCATCGGGGCAGGTGAGCTGCAGCTTCAGGATTAAAGCTCACTCATTTATGGGGTGTGAGACTGGTACCCAAGGACAGTAGGAACAAGGGCCAGGAGGGTTGGTCCATGGTGTGCTGAGGGAGAAGGCTGCAGTCGGGATAGAGAAGGGACCACTCTGGGCAAAGATAGTTAGGAAATGATCACTCTGGATAAGAACTGTGTGCTGAAAGTAGGGAAAGAAACAAACTTGGTAACCTTTCAGTATCTGTATTGCAAACCATCACGACCAAAAGGAGAGAGAGAGACAGAGACAAAGACAGAGACAGAGAGACAGAGCGAGACAGAGAGCAGAGAGAGAGACAGAGAGAGACAGAGAGAGAGGGAGAGGGTGAGGGAGAGAGAGAGGGGAAGAGAGGAGAGGGAGAGAGAGGGAGAGGGAGAGGGAGAAGGAGAGAGAGAGAGAGAGAGGGAGAGGGCAAGAGAGAGGAAGAGGGAGAGAGAGAGAGAGAGAGAGTGTCTGCCATAAAGGCAGGCTGGGGGGGGGTGTTGGCAGGAGGGAAACTGGGGACATTGGTGGTGGGAAAGACACTGGTGAAGGGCTGGATGTTGAAACACTGTATGACTACAACCCAATCATGGACAACTTTGTAACTATGTAAGTCAAGGTGTCACTGTCACTGTCACTGTCACTGTCCTCCCGTTGTTCATCGATTTGCTCGAGTGGGCCCAGTGACATCTCCATTGTGACAACTGTTACTGTGTTTGGCATATTGAATATGTCATGGGGAGCTCGCCAGGCTCTGCCATGCGGGCGAGATACTCTCGGTAGCTTGCCGGGCTCTCCGAGAGGGGCAGAGGAATTGAACTCGGGTCGGCCATGTTGGCTTCGTGCAAGGCAAACGCCCTACCCTCTGTGCTATTGCTCCAGCCCAAGTCAAGGTGACTCAATACAAAATAAATTTTATTTTAAGAAAAAGAAAAAACTCAGGCCCGCCAGCATCTCATCTTTAGAAGTCTCCAGCTGGAGGCAGTTACCGTTTTTCTGGAATGAACCAGATGCTTCCAGGTTCCTGCTCTGCAGGCCCAGGGCTCCTCAACACACGCTCAGCTCTGCCAGGCACCGGGGCTTTCCGGAAACAAATAGGCACACGGCTTAGTTTGGCAGGAAAGTCACAGATTTGGTGGGTGGGCCAAGTTCTAGAAGGTTCTTTGGCAGAGCCGGGAATGGTGGGCAGGGCTGGGATAGTAGGTGAGAGAAAATTATTTCCTGCTCAAGCAAGCAGAGAAGTCTGAGAGATAGTACGGGGGAATCAGCTCCTTTCCTTTCACATGACTGACCTGGATCTGGTCCCTGGCATCAAACATCATCCCTGGAGCACCACCGGAGTGCTCCCTGAGCACAGAGCCAGGAATCGCTCCTGAACACTGCCAAACACAAATGAAGTAGTGGGGAGGGAGGACTTTGCGAGTTCTCCTGTGCACCCCAGCCACACCCCCTCTCCCCAAGGGAAGTGTCCCCATGTGTTCTGTCCCCACCCCTTAGGAGGCAGGGCTGATTCCCCTGCAGTGCCCTCCATCACCTCCCTCTGCTTTTCCAGGGGACCAGTCCCCCATCCTGTAAAGTCATCTGCACTCAGTTTTGCTGGGGGCCAACCCTGTGGGCCGCAGAGAGTCTCTTGGAAGGGGAGAGCATGAGGTGTGAGGGGCAGCAGAGAGGCTAGGAACCCTCAGACCCCCCAATCCACCCTGGCCGCAGAGCCCCCCGACACACACACACACACACACACACACACACATTAATCCAAGGTCTCTGCAATCTGGATACAAGACATCACAATTTCTTGGGGGGGGGGATAAATGATGGAAAACAAAGCTGACCTGACCCCCCCCCTTTCCTGGGGGTCCAGATGCCCCTCTTTTCTGGATCTTTTCCCTTAACTTGCACACAGGCAGCATTCCTGGGGGAGGTGTTGGAAGTCACCCCCATGAAATCTGGGGGAGAGGGACCCACTGCCTTTCCCCTGGCTCCCAGATCCCCCCTCTTAGCATTAATTCTCTCAGCTCACACAGTGGGGCTGGGCTGCACAAATCCTCCATCTCATCGCCCCCTCTTTGGTGTGCCCCAGCAAAACTAGACCGGAAACCCGACCTTCTCTAAACTCTCTAAACTAGGAAGTACGATGCAGCTCCAAGACACCACTGGACAGAGCTCGAGGGGCGGGACCAGATGCTCTGCAGGCAGGAGGCCTTGGGGGCTGGGGATGCCTTGGGTTCCACTGTTCCCCCAAGCACTGCCACAAGCAACCACCTTGCAAAGCACTGAGTCAGGAGTAGCCCCCGAGCACTACCAGGTTTGGCCCCCATAGGAAAAAAAGAAAATCTATAGCACAGCGGTAGGGCGTTTGCCTTGCACGCAGCCAACATGGCCGACCCGAGTTCGATTCCTCCGCCCCTCTCGGAGAGCCCGGCAAGCTACCGAGAGTATCTCGTTTGCATGGCAGAGCCTGGCAAGCTCCCCGTGACGTATTCGATATGCCAAACACAGTAACAACAAAGTCTCCAATGGAGACGTTACTGGGCCCGCTCGAGCAAATTGATGAACAACGGGAGGACAGTGACAGTGACAGTCCTAACATGGATGTGCATGGAGGAAGAGAGCATCACTGGAAGGATCTAAGTCAGAGGGAGAAGGACAAACAGCAACTGGTCTCACGTGGGGTTTAGGAACCACGCAAGGGGATGGTCGGCGTGGAATGATGACCAACTCTTGACTCGGACTACAGAACTGAGGTCACCAAACGGTGGGGTTGAGAAGGTCAGGGTGAAGGCAGAGCTGCAGAGTCTTTGCATTAATTTTAGTGGCGGTCAATCTGCCTCCAGGCCCCATCTTAGCACACCAACAGCCCTGGCCCAGAGACACAGCAGCAAGTTCCGGAAGGCACCACAGCACCAGAGATTTCTCTGGGCCCCAAACTGAGCCAATATCACCGGGACATCCCAGATGGAGCAGATGCAGTCTCCTCACCTACATCTGGGATTTCAGATGGAATCCCAGTGACCAAGAGCTTCCACAAGCAAGGCCCTCAGTATGCGGGTTCCAGGACTACATCTCCAGGCCACATGGTGGCAGAGGACCTAGGCTGTCCCTCCCCGGGTCCCCACCCACCCAGACCTGGGCTGCCACGCCCACAATTTACCTCTGGGCACCATCTTAGCACACAACAGTCCTGGCCCAGAGACTCCCAAATCTTAGCACACAACAGTCCTGGCCCAGAGACTCCCAATCGAATCCCAAAATGGATCGGTGCCATACAGAGATGTCTCTGGAACCCAACGATTTACAATCTAGAAATTTACATTTACAATCATGGCCACTCAAAATGAGCATTGGAAAATAAATTATCTAGCGTCTGCCCCTGGAAGGCAGGCTTGAATGGTGGTGGGAAAATTCACGGAAAACATAATGGCCAAAATTAGAGAGTATTGGGGAAATTGTCTTCCACAGAGGCAGGGTGAAGACTGGGATGTGGGGTGGGCGGATACTTGAGACATCGGTGGTGGACAATGTGCACTGGTGGAGGGATGGGTGTTCCATCATTGTATGGCTGAATCTCAAACATGAAAGCTTTGTAACTATCTCATGGTGATAGAATAAAATAAAAAAAAAAAAAGTAATGTGGAGTTGCCCGGCAAGCTACCGAGAGTATTCGATATGCCAGACACAGTAACAACAAAGTCTCCAATGGAGACGTTACTGGGCCCGCTCGAGCAAATCGACGATCAACGGGAGGGCCTTTACCTTTTACCTTTACCAATGTGGAGTTCATGCCCAATTCAATCAGCTTAATCAATGGCTGAACAAATAGCAGTACTCCTACATTCGTTAAAAAAAATAATTAGTGGTGGTGAGGGTGCAGTCCCTTTGTACTTCAAACCAGACCCAAGGCCAGAGCAATAGCACAGCTCTCTCCGTCTTAGTTCACTTCAGTCGATGCCCTTCAGCTCTTTGACCTTGGATTGCAAAACTGAGTGGAAGGCTGGGGTGAGAGGGAGGTTGGGGGGTTGAAAGAGGCACATTAGAAGCGACAGAGGAAGATGGTGGAGGGTCTTGGGCACTTTGGTTGTGGTGAAGATGCAGTGACAAGGTACACTCAAACCATGAACCTTGAAACAACTGCAAGCTCGCTACCAAACTACAATAAAAGCGGCATATTTTCCAAAATCATGGTTGAAACAGAAATCCAGAGCAGAAGAATATTTGGTGACATGAAAAGGTTCGAAAGTTGAAATCTGTGTTCAGAAACAGTTTTTGTTATTATGATTATTGTTTTGCTTTCTGGGTCACATCCGGCAATGCACAGGGGTTACTCCTGGCTCTGCACTCAGGAATTATTCCCGGCGGTGCTTCTCCATGCCCGACTTCACGCCCCTCCGAGGCTTTCCCCAATGCCCAGGAGCCTGAGCCCTGGAAGGAAGTGAGGACCAGGAGAGAGGATTAGACAGGGAGACGGGGAGCCCCCAGAGAGTCCGGGCTGATAACTCCTTCCAGGGAGAAGTTGATTTCGTCTTTCCTGTACTGGGTGTCACTTGCCATGAGCAGGCCCCCAGACTAGGAACCGGCACCATCTGGCATGCCAGGTAGCCAGACCCCTGGTCGGGGAGGGGGGGGCAGGGTGTAGGGCTCCCAGTACCTGCATGTCCGTCCTGGCGATGAAGCCCTTGTTCTCGGCGTCACAGGTCTGGAAGAATTCTTGTGCCTTCTTCAGCATGGTCAGTTCCTCAGTGTCCTTCAACTCCAGGTTGTCCGGGAACTCTGGGCAAGCCCTGATCTCCTCCTGTCCCCGGCCATGACTCTTGGCACCTGAGGCCATGGACCCCTCTGGAGTAGCCATTAGCTCTGTCGGTTCCTTCGGGTTGTCCCAGAACCTGTGGGTGGGAAAGGAGAGGGGAGCGGAAAGGAAATGAGGGGATCAAAGGGAAGCCCTGAGCACACACCAGGTGCTGGGGATCCCTTAGCAACAGCCTCTCCAGAAGCAGAAGCCCAGGACCTGTCAAGGCTGCCTGGATTGCGAAGAGATGAGCCAGGCCATCCAAGAGAAAATGGGGGGAATAGAAAACAGACATGAAGACAGAGAAAGAAGAAAAAAGGAAGGAAGGAAGGAAGGAAGGAAGGAAGGAAGGAAGGAAGGAAGGGGAAGGAAGAAAAAAGAAAGAGAAAGGAAAGAAGGAAGAAAGAGAAAGGAAGGAAGGAAGGAAGGAAGGAAGGAAGGAAGAAGGAAAGGAAGGAAGGAAGGAAGGAAGGAAGGAAGGAAGGAAGGAAGGAAGGGGAAGGAAGGAAGGAAGGAAGGGGAAGGAAGAAAAAAGAAAGAGAAAGGAAAGAAGGAAGAAAGAGAAAGGAAGGAAGGAAGGAAGGAAGGAAGAAAAATGAAAGAAGGAAGAAAGAGGAAGGAAGGAAAGAAGGAAGGAAGGAAGGAAGGAAGGAAGGAGGGAGGGAAGGTTAGGAAGGAAGGAAGGAAGGAAAGAAGGAAGGAAGGAAGGAAGGAAGGAAGGAAGGAAGGAAGGAAGGAAAATGAAAGAAGGAAGAAAGAGGAAGGAAGGAAAGAAGGAAGGAAGAAGGAAAGGAAGGAAGGAAGGAAGGAAGGAAGAGGAAGGAAGGAAAAAAGAAAGAAAAATGAAAGAAGGAAGAAAGAGAAAGGAAGGAAGGTAGAAGAGAAGGAAGAAAGAAAGAGAGAAAGAAAGAGGAAGGAAGGAAAAAGGAAAGAAAAATGAAAGAAGGAAGAAAGAGGAAGGAAGGAAGGAAGGAAGGAAGGAAGGAAGGAAGGAAGGGAAAAGGAAGGAAGGAAAGAAGAAAGAATGAAAGAGAGAAAGAATGAAGAGAGAGAGAGAGAGAGAGAGAGAGAGAGAGAGAGAGAGAGAGAGAGAGAAGAAAGCAGGCACTTCCAGATTGAATGGGGAGTGGGGATGGGCAGATGGAGCCTGTGGACAACCCCTCCCCCATTTATAGAAACAGCCACAAAACAGCTCCCGGGTAAAAAATCAGAACAAGGACAAACAACCTCCGTAGAGCAGCTTCCAATGATCAGTGATTCCCTTGGAGGCAAGTCTCTGTGTGCCTCTGGGGAAGGACCACCTCATTCCCTGAAACAGACCCCATCAGCTCCATCTGCACTGAGGCTCAGGCAGGTTGAATGGCCTGGCCAAAGTCCCACAGCAAGTCAGTGCAATTCGTGGAGAGTGAGACTCAAACCCATCTAACCCGTGTCTGATCTTAATCCCCCTTGTCCTGATCCTGCCTGCTGTTGAGGGTGAGACACTCAAATACTCCCCCTCAGGCATCACCCACCCACCCTGCAGTTCCTGGGGAACTCATGCCCCAGACCTCGGGGACTTGAGTACTTGCAGTCATGCACTGACTGGCCAGACGTGGTCTGAGGTCCTGGGGGCCATGCTGGGTCATCGCAGAATCACAGACCATCTGCCTCACTCTGATTCTTGAAGCCCCTGAAGAGTTTCTTTGGGGGGAACCAATGTGATGTCATGGATGGAGGCCTGTAAAATCCTGGCTTCTGTGACTCCACTGTTGCTCTAGACTCTGAGTGGGCCTCAGAGTCGGTACTGCCTGGGCCTCAGTTTCCTCATCTGGACCATGAGGAGGCTGGGATGTTTATATTCAAACTCTCTTCTATTTCTCTTTAAGCCTCTCTGAGAAAATGGTTCAAAGACTTCTAGAAACCTTACAAATAGAACTTAAGGGACCAGAGTGTTAGTAGAATGGGTAGGGCGTTTGCCTTGCAAGCAGACGACCTGGGTTCAATCCCTGACATCCTATATAGTCCCTTGAGCACTGCTAGTAGTGACTCCTGAATGCAGAGCCAGGAGCCCCGAGTGTACCACTAGGTGTGTCCCCAAAACAGACAAACAAGAAGAACTTCCATATGACCTTGCCAGCTCACTCCCTGGGCATCTGCCCCAAGAACACAAAAACATTCATCTAGAAAAAAAAAAACCCTATTTGATGTATGTACACCTACAATCACTGCAGCGCTATTTACAAAATCTAAGATCTGGAAATAACCCAAGTGTCCAACACCAGGTGAGTGGATAAAGAAACAGTGGTCTAAATGGACAATGGAATACTACACAGTTATGAAAAAGATGAAATGTTGAAGTTTGCGGCAACTTGGATGGAAC